GTCAGAGCGAGGAGCAGGCCAGCATGGGGGGCAGAAGGCCACGTCCCTCCGCCACCACCTCTGTCCTGCCTGCAGGGGGTGGGACAGCAAAGGGTTGGGATCTAAGCCACGGGGCCCATGGGCCCATAGAGGGTGAATGAGGAGGTCAGGGAGATGGCAGAGCAGGGAGGACACTGAGAGGCAGGGTGGGGCTGCCAGGGCCTGGTGGGAGGAGGTGGCAACACTGAGGCTGGGCGGGCAGGCTCCCTGTACGGTGGGACTGCGCCTTCTCCGGGAGGGCTTCCTGTACCTTCTCTCTTTCCTTTCCATGTTGAGCCTGGCCACTCGGTCCCCAAATGCCATCCGTCTCTCTCCCTTCCCCCGACCTCACCTGGCTGCTGGCAGGAACCCCCTGCCTGCCCAGGGCACCTGTACTTGTGCCCCTGGGGCCTGCGCATTGACTGCCCCCACCCCGGCCTGAGCTCCCAGGAGGCAGGACATTGAAGGAGCTCAGGTTCTGCTCCAGAGTCCAGGGTGGCCTGGGTGGGGCGGCGAGGATGCGCTTGAGCCAGATTCTGGCTCCTGAGACAGTGGTGCGGGCAGGGCAGGGCGGGGACGGGAGCTTTCTGGATTCTGAGGCAGCGCAGAGCACAGAGCTCCTAGGCTTGAGCAGGGAGTTGGCCGCCTGCGTTCCATTGCTGGAAGGGTCAGAGTCTGGAGGTGGGGGCAGCCCCGGGCCCAGTGCTGCCTGGCGGCCCTGACTTCTCTGCCTCTCCCGTCCACTTCCAAGGCTGGCTCCTCTGAGCCTGGCTCACCACGAGTATTTTTAGCCAACAGTTCCTGCTCACAGCTGAGTGTTCACCCTTAAATATTTTATTAAGTTCCTTTTTATCGAACACAGGCCTGTGCCCCTTCGAAGCAGAAATATGGTGCACTGGGTGTCCCAAGTGCCTCTGGGCTGTCCCTCCCATTCCTCGTCTTCCTTACGTGTACCTGATGGTTCCCCAACGCCCGGGGAGAGACTCCCCGCCCCCACCCGCCCCCATGCCCGCAGCGAGTTTTCACCTGCGCGTGTCAGTGTTAGTTGCCCCAGCCACCCCCAAACCTCTGTCGCCCCCTCCCTGGGTGCCTCTCCCCTCGTCCTCCATCCACATCATCAGCCTGCCCCCTGACCCATTCACGCCCGCCTCTCCCACTCGGGCCGCCTGCACCTGCTCTGTCGCGCTCGTCCTGCGTTCTCAGTGCTCTCCTGCCCCCTGGTCTGCTCATCCCTCTGTGCCTGCTCTCCTCCCATTCTCCCCTCCTGGAAGGAAAGCGGGGAAGGGAAAGTGGTCGACATTGGGGCCTTTCCCATCACCCATGTTACATGTTAAAGCAAAAAGGCTTCCTTGGCCAGCCTGCCTGTCTCCTGTCCTTGCTCACTGACCTGCAGCATCCCTGTCACCAGTCTGTGTATTTCATGTTTGTCTGGGAGCCCTGAGTGAGCAGGGACGTCTGTTTTAGCTGCTGAATCTGCAGTGTCTGGCATACAGTGGACACCGATGTGTGCTCGTGGAATGAATGAATGGATCTGAGTGATCTGGTGGGCAATGGGCTTGGCCAGGCAGGCTGTAGGAGGTCTGTGGGATCCGGCTCTGGGAATACACACAGGGCAGGCCCCTGCTGCCCAGGGCCCCTCTCCTGCTTTGGTTGGGCTGTGCACACAGCCCTGGGGCTGGCGGGGCATCTCCTCCTTTGTCTCCTCCCAGCTCCTCTCAGGTTGGAGGTGGCAGCAACTGTGTAGGGCTTAGGGAAGCGGGCACACTGGGTTTGCTGACAGAAGCAGCAAACCTTGACAAACCAGAGTTGGGATCCACCTGCGGGCAACCTCAGCCCCTGCCCAGCCCGTGCCGTCGAGCCTGGGGTGGGAGCCACCTCTGGACCACAGCTTCCACCCACCCTGTCCCTGGCTCTCCCTTCCCTCCTCACAGGTGTTCCGGAGTGGGGAGGGCATGGGTATCCGCCTGGATAACGCTTCTGCCTTCCAAGGAGCTGTCATCTCTCCCCACTATGACTCCCTGCTGGTCAAAGTCATCGCCCACGGCAAAGACCACCCCACAGCCGCCACCAAGATGAGCAGAGCCCTTGCCGAGTTCCGTGTCCGAGGAGTGAAGGTGAGAGGCCGCGCCCCGCCTGCCTTTGCTCCTGGCCCTCGGAGGGTGCCTGGAGGGTGCATCAGAGAGCACCTCGGTGGCGCACTCGCTTGTCTGCCCCCGTCTCGCCCCTGGCTCTGACCCTGTCGCAGTCAGTGCTGCACGTTAGCCTCCCCTGGCTGCAATCAGATGCTGCTGGTGCCAGGGCTCCCCTCAAGGTATTCCTCAGCATCCCTGGGCCTGGGGCTGGCTCCTCAGCCTCAGTGCCTCCTGTCCAGTCTTGTTCTGGGGAGACCCACAGTTTCCTACCCTCTCGGGTCAGAATCCCCTGGAGCATGTTAAGTATTACCAGGTCCCCCTTCTGGAAATTCTGATCCCACAGGTTTGGGCAGAGGCCTCTGTACCTGTGTTTTGAACAAGCTCCCCAGGTAATTCTTAGTTTCAGGAAAACCTGGACACCCTGGTGAGAGCTGACACCCTGTGTGAATGAGGTCCCTTTGTGAAAAGTCACACCCCCCCCCCCCGCCCCCGGCCTGGCATGTGCATTGGGCTGGGTGCTTCAGGGACAGCCCGGGAGGTGGCTGCAGCCGACAGATGCAGCCGGGTGGTGCAGCGAGTCTGGTCGTGGTGGCTGCCCTGCTGGGCCATGATCCTCAAGGTCCACTGCCTCCCTGTCGTCACTGGCATCTGTAGCTAGAGATGAATTCACAGCCAAGAAATGCTGTCTTGTCCTTTGAAGCCAGCACCTGCCCACGTATCCTGTGGGTGCCGCCATCAGAATGGCGGAGGAAGAAGAGCCGAGGATGGGCCCTGGCCCTCAGCCACCATGTGAGTCCCTCCCTCGCCCTCTCGTGGGGGCCTTCATGGGGGAGTGCAGTGGTCCCCTCTTCGGGACACTGCCCCTGCCCACTGCCCAGGGCCAAGCTGGGCCCCTTTTCCCGGCCTCGTGGCCTCCGCACAGCTCCTCCCAGCCCCGGCCACTGTCCCCTCAGTGCCCCGTGGTCATCACTCTCATCTGTCCATGTGGCTCTGTGGTGAGTCCTGGCAGTCACCCCAGGGGGTGCAGAGACCTTTTGAGTAATGCACAGGGAGGCTTCAGGGCCTGTGCTTGCCGGCACTGGGCTGGCTGTCTTCCCCAGGCCCGCAGCCCGACAGCACTTTCCCCGGATGCTGGGGTCTGCCCTATTCCATGGGAAGCCTCGTGGGCTCCTTGTCAGGGGTCCACGTTCTACACACATAGCAGACGGGTGTTGTGACATCAGCTTCCAACATCTCGTGTACCACCTCCCCTCTGGCTGTGGGGCCTGGTCTTCCTTGCAGGGGTGTCCTGTGGCTGTTGCAGTGTTGGGAGAGGCTGTGCAGTCCGTGTAAACCATGACCCCACTGGGGTGAGCCATGTTGCCCCCACCCTCGCCTGTCACTTGTGTTGCTTTTGGTGGTGGCCCTAGCAGCCCCCTGTGGCTGTGCCTGGTTCCTCTACTCCCTCCTCACCTCAGTGCCAGGGTCCCACTTGTGTGCCAAACTGGCCCCTTGGGTCTCCTGGAGGGCCCAGGAATATCCTCCACCTTAGGCCTGCCCCTGCAAGGTGGAGAAAGGGACATAGAGTTCCATGACCACAAGGGCCAGCAGCAGGACATGTGTTTCCAGTTTCTGGGTTGCCAGTGTCTTCCCCCAACATGTACCCAGACCAGGCTGCTGGCTCCTGCCATCCCCTGAGCCTCCTGCCAACGCCTAGACCTGTGGCCCTGGCACTTGGCCCTGCCACTCCTGTCCTCTTGCTGTCCCCACACCCACCTGCTCTCACCAGCCCTGGGTCCCCCACCCTCTTGCTCTTTGTTGAGGACCTTGTTTCCATTGATTTAAGCCAGAGTCTCTTGTGGTCACATGCACATGTGTTCTGGGGTGGGAGGGTAGGCATGCATGTGTGAGCTCAGCCTGCACATGTTGTGTGCATGCATGCACCTTAGAGCACCAGCCTTGCCTGGGCTGCCCACTGGAAGTGCTGTGGCCTTACACAGAAAGCACCAGCACACCCATGAAGCACATTTATGGTGGCCTGCTGCGGGCCAGGCAGCGTCGCAAGACCTGGGATGCCAGTGCCTCCTGCATGTTCACAGAGCACCTGGTGCGCTGAGAGCCGCCCGTGTCTGCGAGTATCTGTGCAGGAGTGTCCAGGAGAAAGCTGTTCAGAAGGCCGCAGTCAGATGCTGCGAGGGCCTGGCCCAAGGTCCCAGCAGAGGAGGCAGCGCAGGGCACTCTGGTCCTGGACTGGGGCAGGATCTTTTTGGAGGGTTCTGGGCTGACAGCAGGACAGTGAGATTCCCAGCCCTTTCCAGTCCCTTGTGGATGGCATTTTACAAATCCAGATGACCTGGTAGATGGTGACAAGGCTGTCACCAAGAGCCATGGGGACCTTCTACTGAGTTGTGCCCGGAAGAATGTTTCCGACCTAGTGCCCTTTGTATGCCCAGAAGGGCTGCACCATGTCACGCCTGCTGCTGTTGCTAAGTCCAGTCCTGTCGACACTGTGCGCGCTGCTGGGGAAGATGCTTGTGCCAAGCACCATGTGCCTGGGTTCACCATGTAGGCACTGTACCCTGTCCACGCCTGCCAGGATGGGCATCCTCTGCCCTGATGCCAGGGTGCGGAAGCCCATGGCTGCTCTAGGGCTGGGCCTGGGCTCATTTAGCTCAGAAGACACCCTATGCTGCTCCTTTGGACCTATGAGGAGGCTGAGGGGCCCCAGGGTGCTCAGACCGCCTCCACTGGGCCTGGCAGCCCCAGCCATGATGCCTGTCTTGGTCTATATGCCTCTACTGGTCCTCTGTCCCATCCTTCCCCTCTCCCCCCTTACAGGGGGCCTAGCAGGACAAGACCAGAGACTAGCACTGAGGTGTCCTCAACAATTTTATTATAAATAAAAACAAGGCTCCCGCTCAGTGGCTGCAGCCCCTGCCTTGGTGGCTGTGAGCACCTGTTGGAGGGACCTGTCCCCTTACCTAGTCTGGAGGCCAGAACCAAGGAAAGGACCCCCTGTCCCGCCAAGTATACAGGGGAGCCTGAGGTACCGAGGATAAAAACCAGGGAGGGCCTCTTGGGGCCGTGCTGCTTATGCAGGCTGGGCGGCCGCCCCAGGTCCTCTGCCCCACACCGTGTGCTCCTTGGAGCACAGGGAAGCTGTGTCTCCATCACACCACACTCTCTTCCAGCCGTTCCGCGCTGCCCCCCAGCCCCCGGCACCCTGCCCCGAGCAGCCCCCCATGCACAGAGTGGCTCCGGCGGGCCCAGGCCCCTCCCAAGCGCCTGGCATAACCATAGCACCCACCGGTGTCTCCCAGGTCCAGGGAGCAGCTGCGCTGGGGGCGGGGTGGGGGGCTCCGTGGCGGGTGGCTCTTGGGCGTGGGGCTGGGGCCTCCATTGGTCTGGGATTGGACGTGGCTGAGCTTGAGGGGGAGGCGGCCATTCCCGGCCCCCCGGCCCCGAACCAGCAAGGCCACAGTGAAGACCAGTAAGGCAGCCACCAGCACACCCCCGACGGCCACGGTCAGGGTCCCGCCCAGCACGTGGGCTTGCAGGGCGTGGCACAGGGGCGTGGCTGGCAATGTGGAGAAATGGGCACAGCCCAGCAGCCTAGTGGCTGTGAGGTCGGAGGGCCCAGCGGCAGGTGACAGGGCCAGCAGGCAGAGATCATAGTCTGCACCAGGGACCAGATGCTTCAACAGGAAGTGGTGGCTGGAGGCTGGGACGATCCTGCAGGCAAGGGCAGGTGGTCAGAGCCCCAGGGTTGGGGTCCAGCCCCATGTCCCAGTTTCCCATGGTTCACAGTCCATCCCCAACCTGTGCTCTTTGCTCCCAGCTCTGAATGTCCCCTCCCCACAGGACCAAACCTGCCCTGTGTGTTCACTCAAGGCAGAGAAAGGCAGGCATGCGTGTGTGGGACAGGAGACAGTGCCAGGGGACGGGTGTACGTGCTGACACAGGCCCCAGGCCAGCTGAGGAGGATGGGGGGGGGGTGGCACCAGGAGAGGAAGAAGTAACGTGCATGTGCAGGGAGGGCCCTGTGCTACAGCACACAAACACCCATCCGCCATGCTTGGGCCACCTCATGGGGCAGGGCCCACCGCCTCCCCTGCCCCTGCAGCCCCAACACCCCCCGAAGTGCTGGGCCCAGCCCCTGCTCCAAGAGTTCAGAAGCTAAGGGGGCGCGTAGAGCCCAGGAGGTGGGAAGCAGGGCCGGGGGTGCACAGCGTGCATCCTCACCGGTAGATGAGGGTCTCGTCCTCGCTGCTGTTGTACTGGATTTGGAACATCCACACAGGGTCAGCCGGCCGCCCTGGCCCCCAGCTCACCAGCCCTGAGGTGGCGGTCACCTCTGTCACCTGCACGGCTGGCTCAGACTCCAGAGTCCCCTCGCCCTCGGCAGCAGTGCGGGCTGAGGCAGCAATGTCCGAGGGTCCGGGGCGGCCCCCCTCAGCACTAGTGTTCCCGCCATGGGGCAAAGCCAGCACCCGCAACTCCACTCGAGCCGTGGCCTCACCAGCAGGGTTGGTGGCAATGCAGGTGTAGCCCCCGGCATCCCCAGCACCTGTCACCCCAATCTCCAGGGTCCCATTGGGGAAAGCTCGGGCGCGGGAGGAGTTGCCGACGAGCCGGTCGTCGGGGCCCACCCAGTGCATGGTGGGCACAGGGTCGCCAAGGGCCCGGCACCGCAGCGTGGCCCGCTGGCCCTCCAGCACCCAGAGGCGCTGCGTGTGGCGGGCAATGAGAGGGGGCTCACAAGAGAACTCGGCCTCGGGCACTGCCCAGAAGTAACGGCCCGCCAGCCCTGGCGGGGAGGCGCAGGTCTCCAGGTCGTCTGGCCGTGCCAGCCGCCGCAGCCACAGCAGCTCGCAGTTGCAGTGCAGGGGGTTCCCGCTGAAGCTCAGCACCAGGGGCGCAGGCGAGGCCTCAGCGTCGCGCCCCCGGGAGAAAAGCGGGTCTGGTGCCAGTGTGGCCAGGCGGTTGGAGGTGAGGTCGAGGCGGGAGAGCTGAGCAAGCTGGGCGAAGGCACCCGGGGGCAGTGCATCGATGAGGTTGTGGTCCAGGTTGAGAGTGTGCAGGGCGGGCATGGCACCGATGCCGGCCCAGGGCACCTGCCGGAGGTTGTTGTAGGACAGGTCCAGGTCCTCCAGGCTGTCAAGAAAGTCGTCGAAGGCGCCTGGTGCGATGCGGCCCAGCTGGTTCCCACTGAGGATGAGGTGCTGCAGGTTGACGGGGCCCCGCAGGCTGCCGGTGCCCAGCTCCACCAGCCTGTTGCCATCCAGGTGTAGGGAGCGTAGGCTCTCCAGGTCCCCAAAGGCGCGGGCCCCAATGCGGGTGATGGCATTGCGAGATAGCGTCAGGTCCACCAGCCCTGTCATGTTGCGGAAGTCAGGCGGCCCTAGGGCTTGGATGAAATTGTCAGCCAGCCGCAGTTCCACGGTGCGCCGGTCCACGTTGGGCGGTACAAACAGCAGGCCTCGGTGGGCACAGAGGGTGCTGAGTGACTCGGACAGGTTCTGGCAGACGCACGGCAGTGGGCAGGCGGCTGCTCCACTGGCCAGCAGCAGCAGCAGGAGTGGCGGGGCCATGGTGGGTGCCCTGTAAGGAAGGGCCACAGCCCAGGTACAGGTGGGGCTGGGGCAGGTGCCCACTTGTGCCCAGGGCACAATCCCAGGGGCCAGCTTCAAGAGCCTGGCCTGGGGAGGGGTTGGGTCAGAGATCCAAGGGGACCCCCAGGGATGAGGGAAGCGTGGGGCCTGCAGGGCCAGGCCCCCCATAATAAAGGCCACATTTCCCAAGCAGTTTAGGGGGAGCCCAGGCACTGGGGACAAGGTGAGGCATGAGGCAGGAAGCGGAGGTGGGCTGACAGCAGGGAGGGTCCCGGAACTTCCCTTTCCCTGGCGTCCCCTGGAATCGTCAGCCCCCTCCCCCCTCGCGCCATCCCCTCCCCCGCCAGGGATTGCGCCCCCCA